ATTTTTATCTTTAAAGCTCCAATTTTTTTTTGAATCTTTAATCAAAATTGTAAAGCCTAAGAGTAGGTTCTCTAGCAATTGAAGTTAGGTATCTAGTGGTTAGAAAGAACCAGCAGTCAGGACTCCTGGGTCCCATTTTCAAATCTCCCACTGACTCTTTGAGTGACCTTGAAGAAGTCAATTAATTTCTATGTCTTTTTCCAGACAGGTAAAAATGAGGAGATAATTCTTCCCCAGCTCGCTGGGGGATTGTGAAACTTAATTGTTTGCAGGGCACTTTGCTATCCTCACATGAGTGTAAAGGACTTTTACTACACCACAGCTGGAGGAAGGCTGAAGCTTAGCATGGAAAGCCATGAATCCTTCAGGTCTGGATCTGCAGTGCTCAAAGGGCACGTGTCTGCTGCAAGGAGGAGAACCACTCAACCCTGCATCCCATGCCCTGTACATACAGACAGCAACTTTCCGGCAGGGAAAACCAGCAGTGCTCTGCACCAGGAGGTCCAGCTCTCTCCATCAGCTGCCCTAAGGCTTTCATCAGCTCTGGAGGCTGCTGTCTCATTGCAGTCGTGTTATGGGGTCAGAGGAGGAACCAGCAGCTTCCACCCAGAGCCATTCACACACATCCATCTTGCATCCCCCCAGGCTCCCAGCTTTGGCACATTTGCCAATCCTCAACAGCACAACAAAATGCTGATACCTCACCAATGGGGATACATCAGCAGCTGGCAGCCTTTCAGCATCCAGCCACAGCTATCAAGTCCCATCTGGGCTATCAGCTCCTTTGTGAAGATTACCAAAAAATCCTTTAGGGCCTTCACTTTGTTGGAAAACTGAATATTTTCACATACAGAACAAGGTGATCCTTTCGTTCTGGCGCAGCTCTGTCTGTTCCGCTGCTGAGGTCAGTGGAGCTGTGTCAGGCTATGCCAGCCTGCCCTGGGGTGTAAATGACTCCTGAAAGAAACAATTTTTGAGTTTATATATGTGTATATATGTGTAAGTTTATTTTTGCCTTGAAGGAAAGCTTGTCACTGCCCTGTCTGCAGAGCTGATCACTGCACAGGTTTCCCTGGGCAGAAAAGAGGAAGAGGAGCTGCCACCAGGGAGCCCCATCCAAATTAACCTACTTACCAGGTGATCTCCTGTCTGCACTAGGAGAATGGCTGTTTGCTTTAGGCCATTTCTGTGTGAGGAGTAACTAGAGATGAGTAAAATTCATAGAATATCTGCTCCCAGGGGAAATTTCAGCCTTTGGTCAGTTTGCATCCCAAATCAGGCCAGTTCAGCAAAATGAAATTCTGGTTGAACTCACTTGAAACAGCTGGACCATCCCTGGCAAAAATTGGAATCTTGGGAAAGGGGGGGGGGGGGGAGGGGGGGGAATGGGGGAAAATGTTCTTTTACTTACAGGAAACTTCCCTTTTAGAGAAATTGTATTTTTTCACTTGTTCCAACTCCAAACTCCTCCAGAACAAATGCCAGGAATTCTCTCATCTATTTATACTCAGTTTGCTGTCTGGGTCTTATTGTACCTGGCATTTGCTGTGCTATATGTCCGTGTTGCAAATAATACCAAGAACATTTACGTCGTGGAAGTATTGTGGAGGGAAGGTTTCCAAGAGCCCTTTGTTAACCTGTTGTCACCAACCTGCAGGGACAGTTCCACCGTGCCAGCAAGGACCCAGAGCCCTGTGGCTTTTTGAACACTGCGTCTACAACAGCATGTGTATATTTGGGGGGGGGGGCTAAATGCTCTTGCCAGTGAAAAAAAAAGGCAGCACCACTGTGAATTTCTGTCAGTTTTGCCAAATGAATTCATTTAGAATTAAAAAACATAAGTTGCTCGAGATAGATTGTACTATGTTCTCTATGGTCTCTATGTTCAGAGCTTTCCTTTCACTTTGTTTTTCTTCTTAACGTGAGAAATGCTTAGAAGTGGACTGAAATGTTTTCTCTGGGATTGAGTGAAACTTCCCTAGTAGAACGAGAACAATATAGATGTGTACAATTATCTTTCACCATTGCCAGCAAACCATAACATCTCTTACTCACCTCATTGTAATTGAAAGCATCATGGGACACCCCGTTAAAATTGAAGCCATTTGCAATTGGCTTGAATCCAAACAAATAACTCTTAACTGAAACTCTTGTTTTTACACAAGGAGCCACGAAAACATTACCGTAATGAATATCTATTGGAGCTTACTTTGGGGGACAACTGCCAAATGGTGGTTCTGAATCTAATTTCATCAATCCTGCTGTAATGACAGGTAAAATCAGGTCCATGGATTGCTGTTTTCTTGGTATTAAGCTAATGTCAACACGAGACAGACTAGATCTGGGGTGAGATTCATCTGACTTCATGTAAATGTCTGTATTTGAGTTCCCTTTGCAGTCACAGAAATCTAGTTATGACAGTCTGTGATGCCTACGGAACAACTCACCTCCTCCTGAAATAGGTGTCTAAAACAATTTGGCTAAAGCACACCTTGAAAATACTTTCGTCTCTACATTAACTGAAAAAACAGCCCCAGGTCACCAGCTCTGATGCAGACACTGATGGTGTAAATGTGCAGGAAGGAATGCAGGCATCTAAATACAGGAATCTCATGCCTTTTGAGATGCCTTGGTGTATCTCACCTGGCTTCCAGTTGCCACTTCAGAAGGGCACAGGTCTCACACAAGTTCCATCACTTATCTGCCAGCCTCATGCAGATGTCCTGATAACATGGGTCATCTAAAGTGGCATTTAATGGCAGATTCATTCTCCTAAAGTTCCAGGAGATGAAAATCATTCCCAGAGTCCTCAGGATGTCCAGACTTGGAAATGCACAATGTGGAAGCTCTCATGATGGGACCATATTTCCAAAGATGGATCACATAACAGCGGCGTGCAGCGTGACAGTCCTACCCAGATTTCTGGGAGGTTACCCAGCCGAGTAATTCAGTCTCTTGTTACCTTACATAAGACACATGGTGAGAGAAGGAATTGTTGTGGAGACTGTATGATGCTTTCTTGAAAGGTCTCTGAAGTAACTTTCAACCTTTTTCTGCCTTCTGTATAATCACTTCCATGATTTTCCTGCTGCCTGCTGACAAGTCACACTCCTTGCTTTGGAGGGGTAACGCCAAGCCAAACTGCCCTCCTTCTTTGCAAGGGCAAAGCTTGCTTGCATCACACTAGGAAGCAGGAGATTTACACCAGTGGGATTGCACAGTCACCCCAGATAAGATGAAAGTAACATGTCAGCAGTGTCTATGTCTTTATCTCTGTAGGTAGGACATATAGGAACACACAGACCTTTGTGGGGTCAATAGAAAAAAATATCCCCCCGCCCCCCCTGCAGTTTGTCTGGACATGAGTGGTGTAGAGTGGATAGCACCATTTGACCCTGTGCTGTTTATCTGCTAATAGACCAGAGCTGGCACTGCTTTAAATTACGCATTTCCCTTTCACTGTCATTTATAATCAACAGAGATATTTTATGTTTATATAGCTTCTTTCATCCTAAGGATCTCAGGGTGCGTTACAAGGCATGATCCAGATGCGCTCTCCTGTTCTGCAAGTGGACTGGTTCATGAGGATGTCATGATGGGCTTCATCCAGGAAGAGCCTGTCTGGGCATTGTGCCCTGATGGCTTTTTTGCTCATGGATGTTCTGGTCAGTGGTGGTTTCACAAGTAGTAATGGAAAGAAGCACAACCATTACATTCAGATTCCCCTGTTACAAAATACTTCCTAGAGGACAGCTTGAGAGAGAGCTATGCCCCGGGGCAAGAAACTCATGAAAGCATGATTTCTGCAAAGGGCCGTATGTGTAGGTGTTTTAGGGACCAAATTCAGATCGCATCTTGGAAAGAGGACAAATCTATCTCCAGAGATGACTGACTGAAGTGAAAACAGACTGAACAGTGGTTTGATTTTAAAACTCTTGAGATCCAGTGAAAACTACACTGTAAATCTGAGGGTCTCTAATAAAATCTGGAGACCTCAATTGTAGATGTCTATGTCTGAACTCATTTGCTAGACTCTGCTAGAGTTCATGAAGAAAACCAGGGTCTTATAGGGCATAACCCAATATGACACGTCTTGTAAGTGTCTGCTTTCAGATGAGGTAAATTCCTGAACTGAAAAGGCGTCCAGGATGACTACTCAGAAGTAATTGTCCACATTGCAGATGTCTAAAGTGAAGAGATATGAATCTTACCAGTCTGTACCTTGTAGCAACACCTGTGAGCCCAAAACAAAGCAAGGAATCTAAACAGTAAACAAGAGTCCTTTGATCTTGACCATCACTTTTGTGTCCTATCAGAGCAATGGAGGAGATCTAGCAAACAGCACTGGGCTCTTTGTTGCTTTGCATCCATGTGACAAGCCAGAGAAACAGGCCTTGCCAGACAATCCCTCTAACAGTAGTTAAAAGGTTGCTTAGTTTAATTACCCAGGCCAGAAGGTGGTATAGAAATCAGCAAGTGCTGATGTGATTCACACATACCCAGAAATAACAATCTTGATATTTAGACCACTGAAGTAGAAAGAGTGGGCTGGAGATAGGATGAGAAATAGTAATATTTAAAACATGACCTATCTTAATGTTTCTTATAATGACAATTGTGAAATTACAGGATGAGATGCAAGTTTCCTATTTAGCAAATTAAAGAGAGGTTTCTGGGCTTTCCAGTAGCTTCAGACAGCTTCAAAACTAGCACAGATCAAAACTAAACATCATCCAGACTAATCACAGTCCTGGTCAGAAGAACAGATCTAAGAATACTTTCTCCAAGCAACTGATTCACAATTGATGGGAGTCTTTCCACTGACTTCTCTGGATTTCGGACCTGCATGGAGCTATTTCCCATTAAACACAGATGATCTTAGCCCGGTGCCTACAGCTGCTAATAGAGGCAGTGTTTGCCTGTCTGCATTCCAGAGCTAATGCACATTCCAGCCCCTGCAGAGGACTTTGCCTCACCTCCGACGCACAAGGTCAACTCACCTTTGATCCTCTGCATTGGTGTAAGGCTATCCGAGGAGGGCTGCATAATGACTCAGCAGCTCACCGCCTGCTATGTTTCTCTTTTTAACTGGATTTTTTGCTCCAGTGAGGCTGTTCTCAGAATGGCTGAAGCTCACATGCCCGATCTTGAACCTAGCGAGAGCACAATTACTAAGCAGGTGTAAAGCTGGCTAATGACAGTACAACACAGCTCAGGCATGCGTCAGGCCAGATGATGTGTCGAATGATTGTTGTCGTTGCCACGGGAATGACAACACAGGAGAACAGCATCACGTAACAGCAAGACAAACTGTCACGTCAGCAGGGCATCAGCTTTCACCCACTTCATCTCAGCTGGACAAGGGGACCATGATTTGAAGACACTGTGCACATTTGGGAGACGTTTTCATAACAACTGGATGAGGCCTGTTTGTCCTGCTGAACCCCAGCAGTGACTGATACTCCTGAGGTCATGCAACACATACCAGAGTCTTAAGATGGCCAAAACCCACAAGACAAGTGACCAGTGGAAAGGCAAATTGAGGAGAGGGCCTAAGAAATAGCACATAGACCAGGTATGTCAACTACTTTTTTAGTTCCTCACTGCCTCTTGTGGAAAGGAGTCTGGATATCTGTTTTACTCTCAGGATTGTCTTATGATGTCAGCCTAAGCAACCTTGTCACTTCCACTCTTCCCTCAACTGAAAGTCTAAATCACACAGCTGCCTCAACACCAGCCAAGCCTGAGAGGTCTTCACATAACCTAGACCAGAAGAGATGTACATGAGTCAACATGCAACCTAACAACTCTAGGTGGGCCACACTAGAGACCTTAGTAAAAATTGTACCTAGAGTCTTGCAACGATCACTACTGCTAATAAAGTCCCACTGAACACTGGACAACATACCACTATGTCACATAGCTCTCTTCAAACGCCTTTACAAGAACATAGCTCTGAAGACACAAGTAACCCCATCTCAGTCGCTGCGTTAGTTCTCCCTCAATATGAACCATCATTAAGTACACTAATTAGTGCTGTTGGGAACTCTTGAGAAAAGCATGGACAAATACTGAGCAAGTACTTAATGCCAAAAAGCCTAACATATCTTGGCTTTACCTAGTTTGTAGTGTATTGTAGTACCCAACTTTCAGCACAGGGCACAAAAATAGCTTCCAATGACATTATCACTTCGTTATAATGGGCTAAATTCAGCCCTGAGGGGCTATAGAAATTAACGGACTTTAGCCTAACGTGGTTAATGAGAATGGTCTATTTCGAGCCCATAAGGTACCATACTTCTGCCACTACAGATTGCCTGGGAATAATTCACCTCTTCGGAGACACTGTATTCACTTCCAGCCCAGGCTATGTTTGCTCTAAATAGAGGCAGCAAAAATAGACATCAAAATGAAAAACATTTCTTTCAGACTCCAAATGCCTCTGGCTCTGATTTTGATCTCGCATGCGGTAGAAGCTCAAGTGAGTAGAGAGGTTTATTTCTTATTTGTGCCAGTAAAAATGAAATGGGCCCACTATGTTTATCATTGATTTAGAATGCGGAACATTTAAGACAGTAGCTATGCACTCAGAAAATGTTAACCCTGGTTAAACACGGCTAACCTTTACTTCTTCAGATCTCTTCCTATGGATAATCTCCCTGCAACTTCTGATTTCTGTAACCACCTAGTTTCTAACTTCCCTGCTCATATTGCTAAATCCACCTCCCTAGAAGTCCCTTCTCTAGAACTTCAGAATCAAATTCATCCAGCATCAGATTTCTACTTCTGCACAACCATGTCCTCATCTCTAGAAAGCATGTAAGCTCATATTAACCTGTTTAGACGAATATGTGTTTACCTGTAAGAAGAGGTGCATAAGGATGCCCCTGGTTTGAACTTAGCCTTTATGTCTTTGCTGCTGATGGTCATTTTGAAACAGGGCACAGCCATAGAGGCTCAAAATACACCCTCTACTCTTGTATCCAAATTCTCCACCATGCTCTCTATTTTCCACAAACATTGAAAATCTCCAGAAAAGCAAAATGCTCCAGAAAGTACTAAACTACAATTCAAGTGGTGCCAGAGCTTTCAAACAGTCTTGTCATTTTTCATGTGGATGATTTGCATAAAAGATCTCATCTATTCCCTCTTCCTTTTAAAACTTTTCTCATCTTATTCTTGGCTGAAGATGTAACTGAGGAAGGATCTGCCCTGAATGTTTGAATGTAACCTAACAAGCTTTAGCTATGCATCTTCTAGTGGACTAAATTTTGCCAGGAAGAATTTTATGTTCCAGAGGCCAACTATCAAGTCTGTCTGCACTCATACCATCAAAGCACTTCAGCCTCCAGAAAAGGGTGACCTCATCCAAGCTGCCTATGGGGAAAGCTCCCTTATCCATGTGAACTTCCAGACAGTGACTGTAGACTGTTTGGGACAGCACTAAGTGGCCTGGGCCAGGGATCATTCTAACAACCAGAAAAAGTAGAATGCAAATTATAGGTGGTCAACACTTTATTTCACTATTGTAGATGCATTCTTTAAAACCTTCCCGTCATCACCAAAAAGCCCACTAGATCAACTATTTCTGCACTACTTGCTTTTAGCTTACAGGTTCTCCTTTTCCTAGAAAGAAAGAAAAATGTTCACTGATGATAAAAGCTGTGCTAAGTGGAGCACTTCTACATCTTTCCTTTGGGATAAGCTTACGATTTCATTCCTACTACTTATAACCTTAGCCCATCTGACTTGTTGACTTTCAGGAAGATAGCCAAAGGCGGGACTTGGGACTGTAAGTGTGGACTCAGGTAGACTACAACTATGTATACTAGGGCTTTCCAAGGAGGCTAAAGAACTAAGTGCCCAGCTTCCCTCAAACCCAAAGACTCTACCTGGTCTTCACTGATACAAACAGTACCTCCTAGCAGACCACTCTATGTCCCAGCAGAGATGGAGGGGAGGACAGCTAAGGTATTATGTTTCATCTTTTACCACCTCCAAGCATACTTCATTAATTATTTGGATCACAATGAAATAAAGAGCTGATTTGAGATTCTCATCTACTTAGTCATTTGTTGACTTCTGATAAAACTGAGCTTTGTCTTCTTATCTCTCTTTGCCAAACAAAGAGGCCAAGGCCAGCAAGTGAACCTCATCTTTCACACTACTCACCGGATTCAATCAGTCACGTATTGTAGTTGATCATTACATTTTCTAGATAACTACTTGCCTTCTCTTCTATGATACAAAAAATGTTTGGTGCGCTAACCAGCATTTAATGGGAAAGAGAAGAAAAGACAAAACTCCACTGATGATATATCTTTGTTATCAGTTTCATCAGTATAAAACTGGCAATAATTTCACAATGTGTTTTGAACATAATCAGCAGGAATAACTTGTCTCTCTAGATGAAAAAACAACCTTTATCCTCAATATACAGACATTATACCGCACTCTCTATGGAACACTGTAACATAAAAATTGCCCAATGAACAGACTTCACCATCTTTTATCGTTATGATTTCTGAATCCTCAAAATATGAATCTAGTCTTCCTTCAGGAAGCTTTGAACCTACTTAATCCATTATACAATTCATGTTAAAGGCCTAGCCCTTCCTCATGGATGCTCTATGTTTCTTGGGAACTACCTCTCAAATATAACACAATCAGCTTCACTTTTCTGGCTAACATATCTGCTCATATCTGTCAGGCCTCTCTTTTTGAAGATACTGGACTTTCTTGGAAATGACATCTTCAGCCTAGTTTTTAAAGTCACAATTCCTAATCAGTCACCAAATCTAAGGGAAAATGGAAACATTAAAGACTTTGAAAATCTACTCTAGAAACCTCATCATCAGTTCTGAAAATCTTAGCTTTGGACTGAAGCCCTCATGATGGAAAGACACCTGTACACATGTGGTAGTAGTGATAAAATTTTGCTCTCATTTATAACAGCAGAATTCTGGAAGCAGATTTAGTCCCTACAACTATTTCCTTTGGCTAAGTGCAGATTTATACATATGTAACAGATTATGACCATTCTCCCACCCACTCCAAAGCTTTGGCACCACATGTATTTATAGTATTATGTATACAAACCCTCATGAAGTTCAACAAAGTGAAGTGTAAGGTTCTGCACCTGAGTTGGGGCAATCCCAAGCACAGATGCAGGCTGGGCAGAGAAGAGGTTCAGAGCAGCCCTGCGAAGAAGAACTTGGGGGTGTTGGCTGGTGAGAAACTGAACATGAGCTGGCTTCAGTGTGCGCTTGAGGTTGGCCAGAAAGCCAACCGTATCCTGGGCTGCATCAAAAAGAGCGTGACCAGCAGGTTGAAGGAGGTGATCCTGCCCCTTTACTCTGCTCTCGTGAGACTCCACTTGGAATATTGTATGCAGTTCGGGTGTCCTCAACATAAAAAGGACATGGAGCTGTTGGAGCAAGACCAGAGGAGGGCCACGAGGATGATCAAGGGGACTGGAGCACCTCCCATGTGAAGACAGGCTGAGAAAGTTGGAGCTGTTCAGCCTGGGGAAGAGAAGGCTGCATGGAGACCTCATAGCAGCCTTCCAGTATCTGAAGGGGGCCTACAAGGATGCTGGGGAGGGATCTTCGTCAGGGACTGTAGCAACAGGACAAGGGGTAATGGGTTAAAGCTTAAACAGGGGAATTCAATTTGGATATAAGGAAGAAGTTCTTCACTGTGAGGGTGGTGAGGCACTAGAACAGGTTGCCCAGAGAAGCTGTGGATGCCTCATCCCTGGCAGTGTTCGAGGCTAGGTTGGGTGGCACTTTGAGCAACTTGGTCTAGTGGAAGGTGCTCCTGCCCATGGCAGGGGGGTTGGAACTAGATGATCCTTAAGGTCCTTTCCAACCCTAACCATTCCATGATTCTATGACACAGTAAGCAATCATCCTGTAAAATAGGAAGGCAACTCCAGAGAATGAATTGTTGTCGATAGGAAAGAACTGGTTAGTTAAAAGGGTGGTTAATGGTCTGAACTGAGTGGTTAACAACATGTCAAGTGGCTTTTGAGAGAATGCTTGTATTTACTCAGTGGTCAATTATTCACTCATAAATTCATTGGTTTCATTTCCTTGTAGTCTATTTCCTCTACTATATGTTCATAATCATCTTCTTATAAGTTCTCCTCCTACAGTTACTAATTATTCTCTATGTTCATCGCATCCTCTTGTGTGCCATATAGATGGTGAATATTAATTCCCATAGAGAAGAGGGTTTTTTTAATTAAAACAAT